GACGTAGCCGTGCTGCGCATCCTCCTCCCAGATGGAAGCGTGTCCTGGACCCCCAGGCTCCCCCTCGTCCCGAGCGGTTTTCGGACGGCCCTGGGCCCTCCCAGGAGCCCGAAAGGGGTCAGAGAAAACCAAGACCCTGTCCTGCCGGGACCCCTTTTCTTTATGGCGCCCCTGATAAATCGACCCCCGGACCTCTCGAGGAGTGTGTCTGGACAAGAACCTGGAGGGGAATGCAGCCACGGTGGCAAATCATCCTCCTGGAGACGCAAAATGGACGCCCCGAAAACCTCGATCCTCGAACCTCGATGCTTTCAGCACCCTTTGCCCTTTGAGCATCGTTTAACCGATCTCTATCCCCACTGGGGTGGCCTGGGCCCAACCGGCCGATTTATCCCCCTAGATATGGATACGTGATGCTCCCTTCACGTTTCGAGGGACATATCCCCAGCTGGGGCGGTGGGATGGTGGGGAACTGGATGGGGACATATAGAGATGGGGATGGGATGGGCATCGGCCACGCGATGCTGACCCTTCCCGCCGCGGTGGCCTCCTCTCCCTCCTCGATGAGCCCGGGGTACTCCAGCAGCTCCTCCACAGACATGCAGCGCTCCTGCAGCGCCCACCGCACGAACCTCCGCCGGCGCGGCCGGGGCGGGGGCGGGACCGGTGTCGGAGGGTGGCGCCGCATCGCCGACGCATCGGAGCGCGTCGCCGATGCATCGGCGATGCATCGGCGCCGACGGCGTGGAGAGAAACTGGCTCCACATCGAGCCGCACCGGCGGTGTATCGGCGATGCGGCGCGATGCTTCGACCCCTGCTCGGACCCCATGTGGGAAGCCTAGACTGGCCCCGCCACAACCCGGAGCGAAGAAACCGGCCCGGGGATGGGCTCGAGATCTCCAGGGGCCCACGTCACGAAAACTTGCGACGCTGGAAGAAAGAAGTCCCTCAAGCCCTCTGGGCGGAGGTGGTTTGGAGCGTTTCCTTTTCCATCTTCACCGTCTTCCCCTTCGGGAAGGGGTTCATCACTGCCACTTATGACATGTACATCACCTCCCCCACCCGACCGGCGACAAACCCAGGATCAGAACCACTCCCCCCCACCATCCCTTGCAAAGAACGATACGAAGTGCACGTTGCACCAAAGTCTGCATCATGCGCGGACGCACCGCGATCACTCTGCATCGAGCTTCGACGAAGACGGCGGGGGCTGGCATGTTGCCTGCTGTGCGCAATGCCAATAGCCCCCACCATCCATTCTGCCCCCCCCCCCAACAAAAAAATGCTCTTCTCTGCACCAAAATCTGGATCATGCGCGGACGCAGCGCGATCCCTATGTCACTCTGCACTGACTGTTGACAGGGGGGACGGCGGGTGGGCAGCCCACCCACCCGCCTTTGAGGTCGCACCGGCAGCAGGCCCGCACTCTCGCGGCGTCAGCGCAGGACCGCAGCATCTCAGCCCCAGACGACATGGATATTCTCAACGGCACCTTATGTCTACACTGGCTTCTGGCTCTATAGAAATGGCCCTGAGCAACTCCCAGCTGACTGCCAAGGTGGGCTGGCGTATTGCCTGCTACGCGCAGGCCCATCATCAATGCACAACAACACCATACTAAGTGCACCTTCCGGCAACGATCATGCGCGGGAGCCCCGCGATCACTTAGCATGGCTATTTTGAAAGAGACATGTTGTTTTGTTTTTTTTTATATTATTTGTTGTTATTGTTTCCTCTTTGTTTTATTTTTTGGGCTATCTTGAAAGAGATGATGGGGGGTGCCCTGGCACGCGCGGCACACCTCGCGGGCGCCGCGCACCTGGCTGGCGTCTGCCTTGGTTCTCGATTTTATGGTCGATGGCGGCCCCTTCCCATGCTGAGCGTCGCGTGTGGCTCACGTCGTCCTGAGCGAGACGGCCGTCCTTTCGGGGGGGGGAGCTTGATCACTGCTCCTACTGATAAACGCACCCCCTCCCCCCACCCGACCGGAGGCCAACCCGTACCCGTGAGCCCCCCCACCCCTCCACCCCTGCCGAAAAACAATACAATATACATTTTGCCTCCAAATCTGGAGCACACGCGGGCGCCACACGACAACTTCGCACTGTTTTTTGGACAAGGACGGCGGACGTGCCGGCATATTACCTGCTTTGTGCCCTGCCAACACCCGACCAAAGTGCACTTTGCGGCAAAGTCAGGGGTCATGCTCGGGGGGCCCGCGACCACTTTGCATTGTGTGACACGGACGGCGGGGGTGCCAGCGTAGGTCTGTTCTGCGCAAGGCAACTACCCTTATCAAAAAAAACTACTGTACTTCGCGGCTAAATCTGGATCATGCGCGGGCAACCCGCAATCATGTTGCACTGGTTTTTGACAGGGACGGCGGGCGTGTTGGCACGTTGCCTGCTGTGCGCAGGCCCACTAAACGTCATGATGGCAACTCCGCCGTGATTGTTCATTGGTTTTCGACAAGGACGGTGGAAGCCGACATGTTTCCCGATGTGCGCGGGCGCACGTGGCGCACCAGACGTGGCTGGAGCATGCGGCACACTTGGCGCACATGGAGCAAGTGGCACATCTGGCGCACCAGGCGTGCCTGGCACACTTGGGACTCAAGGGCGCCTGGCGCGCCTGGTGCGCGTGGCGCATCTGGCACGCGTGGCGCACCTCGCCCCAGTGTCGCACACCTGGAGCCTGCATTAGCTCCCAGTAGCAACACCGCTGAATATGCAGAGACCCGGGTACTACTTAGTTATGTGTTGGGATGGCGGGTGGGACTGAGCGAGACGCCTTGTTGCTCGTGGGTAGCTCGACCCCTCTCCCACTACCACCCCACCTAATCTGAAAGGGGAGATCGCGTGTCGTTGGAGCGCCCAAGATAGCCCAAGATGGCTCCAAAAAGGACCTCAAAGGAGGCTAAGATAACCTCCAAGATGGCTCAAGATGACTGAAGATAGCTCCAAAATGGTTTCCAAGATATTCCAAGAGGCCCCAGGAGGCCCCAAGGCCGCCTCAAGACGGCTCCCAGTGGCCATGGAACCTCCCAAGGAAGCCTCCGAGAAGACAAAGCCCGTTCAAAAACCAGAGAGGCTGATTAATGTTGTGTGCCTTCTCGCCCTTTCGCTTTCGACGGCCCTCCGAGGCCTCAAGAGGACTCCACGAAGGCCCAAGAGAGCCCCAAGAGGTGCACAAGAGACTCCCAAGAGACCCCGAAGAAGCCCCAATAAGCTCCCCCGAGGCACTCAAGACGCTCCAAGAGGCCCCCGTGACCGCCAAGAGGTCCCCACGACGGCCCAAGAGGACTCCAAGAAGCTCTCAAGAGGCATCCGAAGAAACGCCGAGAGGCATCCAAGAGGCCTCTGGCCTTTCTGCTCGCCCTCCTCCTCCTCCTCCTCCTCCTCCTCCTCCTCCTCCTCCTACTCCTCCTACTCCTCCTACTCCTCCTCATCCTCCATTCCTTGTCCTTATAGATAACTCCTCCCTGTCGCACCCCGAGGCCTGTCGAAAGGGCGGGTCGAGTGTTTCAACTGAGAGTCGCTCACCACTTATAACCCTGATGCGAACAAATGACAACAGCTTCACGGATGGAGGGCGGATCGTTTTCAAAACGTAGCTATCGCCCTAGCACCGCGCACGTTCGTCTTAAAATGTTGCAAGAGTTCCACGGGTTGAGGGCGGGTCGTTTTCAAAATGTGGCTCTCGTCTTAGCGCCGCGCACATTCGCTGTAAACATGTGCAAGAGGTTCACTAATTCTCGTGGTGAACGTACCAGAATTTGTATTTTGGAGTGATTCAGGATTGTGAGGGCGCAACAGTCACTTTAATTCGCGGTGTTGAAGTCCCGAGAATAGAATTGTTCAGGTTCGCCAAAACGTAACAGTCAGGTTTACGCGAAAGGCTACGACGGTACACGATGCTTCTCAGGGCCTTCAGGGCAGGGATCCTGGCGCGTTGAGAAGCATCCCCCTCTGCCCAGCAGCACGATGACATGAGGCACGTCAGATTGTCAAGGTGTCGACTGGTGCTGCTTTCTTCCCTGGTACCTCGTCTCCTGCGCCCGTCAGAGTCTTCCGTCAACTCTGGCAGCCATTCCAGCGGAGGTGCTCTCCCCTGGCTTCCTCGCTGCGACTCTTGTCGATCATCTTGAAGGTGACCTTCCGCATTCAACACTCCCTCCGCCATCCTTGCCCCTCTCCTCTGCGTCGCTTCTCGTCGCCATCGCCCCCCTCTCTGCATTCTGTCACTCTCTCTCTCTCGCTCTATCGCACTTTCTATCTCCGGCTCTTCGTCTCTCTCTCTCTCTCTCTCCCTCTCCCTCTCCCTCTCTCTTCCTCTCTCTCTCTCTCTCTCTCGCTCTCATTATCTCTCTCTGTCCCTCTGTATATATATATATATGTATATGATACCGGAGAAAAACCCATCAGGTGTTTGTTAGGGTTATATAGGGCTATAGGGCTATAGGGCTATTGGGCTATAGGGCTATACGGCTATCGGGCTGTAGGGCTATCGGGCTATAGGGCTATAGGACTGTGACCTATAGGGCCATAGGGCTGTAGGGTTATGGGGCTATAGAGCTATATGGGCTATGGGGCTATAGGGCTATAGGGATATAAGGCTATTAGGGCTATAGGGATATAAGGCTATAGGGCTACAGGGCTATAGGGCTATACGGCTATAGGGCTATAGGGCTATAGGGCTACTGGGCTATTGGGCTATTGGGCACCCCCGGGCACCCGGGCACCCCCGGGCACCCGGGCACCCCCGGGCACCCGGGCACCCGGGCACCCTGGCCCAGCCACCGAAATCGGCCACCCGGGCACCCCCGGGCACCCGGGCACCCGGCCCCGGCCACCGAAATCGGCCGCTCACCTCACCTCAGCTTTATATCCGCTAGGACCCCTACAGAAGCAAGCTCTGATTGGGGAATATTCCTCTTCCTATATTTTGATAAGCCTGGGCGGGGGGAAAACCCGTCCCCCCCCCAAAAAACGGGACTCCCGGGATCTGGGGCTTTGGGACCCTCCAGACGGGCCTCGAAGCGGCCACCGGGCCTCACATGGCGTTTTGCCAAGCCTTCCCAGCACACCTAGGGCGATCAGGGGGGTCATCGGAGACGTCCCAGAGACCCCCAAGACAGCACAAGAGCGCTCCAAGAGTGACCGACGTGACCTCAAGATGGCCGAAGAGGCCTCCGGGACGGCCCCAAAGAGGCCTCCAAGAGCACTCCCAGGAAGGCCCCCCGAGGCAAAAATCATTGAATTTTCTATTGGTTGTTTGGTGAATGTTAGGGTTCCCCTCTTTCGGCTGCCCGACGCTCCAAGACGGCGGTCTTCTGGGCGTCCGAAGCCGCCTGGGAGGCTCCAAAAATCGCCCCACAACCATCCGAAAGGGCTTCCAGGTAGTCCAAGAGAGCCCCACAACGGCACAACACGGGTCCAAGATGGCCCTCAGAGAGCCCCATGGCGGCCCAAGATGGCCCAAAGACACCCTCCGAAGAATTCCAAATCGTGATTCGGTCGTTCAGGGAGACCGCGGTTGGAGGCAGGGTGGCCCGAGGAAGCCCCCGGAGGCCCCCAGAATACGCCCAGGAGGTCTCCAGAAGGCCTTCAGAAAGCCTGAAACAACTTTTGTGAGGCCCCTAGAGGCACTCCAAGGAGGAGCCTCCGCAAAAAAGAGCTGAGGAGGATGGGGAGAATGCGCAGGGCATGGCGAAAATAAAGAAACATAAGCATGGAGGAAGGATATCGAATAGCATTATTATAGCGGCGATGCCAGAAAAGGCAACCAGGAGTTATCGCTAATTTGTCAGCTTGACATTCCTGCTAGTCCGCCTGCATACCAAACTTCAAGGACCAAGGTGCATGGCGCGAAGCGCCACTGCAGTCTTGTATATATATATATAGAACCATCGCGCGCGCTTCGCGCGCGCTCAAGTTCTAGCCAGGATCCTCACCATCGTCATCATCGCAATCATCACCATCGTAGTCATCGTCATGGTCGTGTTCACCATTACCATCACCAGCACAACCATCATCATCACCACCATCATCGTCAGCATCGTCAGCACCATCGTCATCATCGTCGTCGTCATCGTTGTCCTCACTATCATCGTCGTCGTCATCATCAGCATCATCATCGTCAGCATCAGCATCAGCATCATCATCATCATCATCATCTTCGTCGGCGCCGTCGTTGTGCTCGTCATCCTCATCATCAGCGTCGTCGCCGTCATCATCATCGGTCTACTCCAGTCCCCTCCCCCTCCTCCTCATTTCCGTTCTATCTCTCCCCCTCATCCTATCCTCTTGCTCCTCCTCCTCCTCTTTCTTCTCCTCGATGCCGTCTCCCTGAAGTGGATCCCTGTTCATTCACCTCCTCCTCCTCCTCCCTGTCCTCCCCGCTCTCTTCAATCTGTCCCCTCTGCTTGCCGCCGAGTGTGATGGCACCACGACGGCGAGAACGACGACGACGACGACGACGACGACGACGAGGAGACACCCCAGGCTGCAGAGGAAGAGGGTGGTCAGGGAGTGGGCGTCGGCACCGAGATCAGCTAAGTAGACATGGGCTGTCCCGACGGAGGAGGACGAGGAGGCCACAGAAACAACGGCAGCCCCCATCCTTTCAAAGCTAACATGTGCACGCTAAGCTCGCACCCTCGGCCCCAACTAACACCACGCGCGCAGTTCGAGCGCGCTGAGGTTCCAGCAGCCCCCATCCTCTCAAAGCTAACATGTGCACGCGTGCACGTAACCACCAATGGCAGGAGCATGAACTGGAGAGGTAACAATGGCGCAGACCGAACAGGGCCGTAGTACACACGAGGGCGCACACAGACGTATCGAATGCAACGCCATGCAGACCAATGCGAGTAGTAAAACAAACACCAAACGTTGCAAATGCAGCGCGATTCACAGCATTATTGTTGAATTGAAATGCAATGCACATGCTACTCAATGCAGGCAGCTCAACGGAACGGATCGGAAGGAAGAAGGGGTGCATATGAAAGTGTCCGAAATCGCATGGGGCTCGTTTCGGTGCCTGCTCGGGGGCTATTGGGGGCCTCCCGGGGGGCTCTTGGGGGCCTTTGGGAGCCTCTAGTGGTTTCTGGGGATGCTCTTGGGGCCGAGGGCCCGTAAAGTGCGCTCGGATCCCGCGTCTGGGCCCCTTCTTGGAGCCGTGTTGGGACTCTCTTGGGCCGTCTTCGAGGCCTCTTAAGCGGTCCCGGGGCGCTCTTGGGCCGTCTTGGGGCCGTCTTGGTGGCCTCTTGGGCCGTCGTGGGGCGATCTTGGGTGCCTCTTGGCCGTCTTGGAGCGCCAGGGAGCCCAAAAGGAGAGAAAGCCAAAAACATCGAAAAACACAATGGAAAATCAACGATTCGAGCCTCTTGGGGCCCTCTTGGAGAGCCTCTTGGAGGCCTCTTGGGGCGTCTTGGAGGCCCCTTGGGCCGTCTTGGGACCATCTTGGGCGTCTTGGAGCGATCTGGGACCGCCTCGGGGCCCTCTTGGACCATCCTGGGGGCCTCCTGGGGCCGTCATGGAGGCCTCTTGGGTCGTCTGGAGGCTCCTTGGAGGCTCCTTGGAGGCCCCGGGGAGGGGGTATTAAAAAGCGTTCCCCGATGGTTGCGGAGTGGGCGGCCCCGCCGGGGGGGGGGGGGGGGCTATTTGTTTATATTATATAAATATGTGTATCGGTTTCCCGCTGCCACCGTGTATTCATCTGTCTATCTCTCTCTCTCTCTCTCGTTCCATTTCTCGTCGTCTCGCTCCCTCGCACCACCCGCCGCCCGCTTGTCGGACACCCGCCTGCTCCTGCTTCCTCGCAGACCCCCCAGCCCTCTTCCTGCAACGCGCTCCTACCGGGATCTCGGAGCGCATCAAGCCGCGAAGAGGAGGGGCCCCCTGGGAAGCTCACACAAATCCACAAAAAAGTCCACCAAACTCGGATCTTGATCCTTGATCCTCGATCCTCCTCCTCCTCCTCCTCCTCCTCCTCCTCCTCCTCCTCCTCCTCCGTCCCTCGCTCCTCCTCCTCCTCCTCCTCCTCCCCTTCCCTTCCCCTCCCCCTCCCCCTCCCTCCCCGCTTCCCCTCCCCCTTCCCCTCCACCCTCCCCCTCCTTCCCCTGCCCGCTCCTCCCGCTCCTCCCCCTCCTCATCCTCCCACTCCTTCCGCCCTCCCCCTCCTCCTGCCTTCCCCTCCCCCTCCTCCTCCTCCTGTTCCTCCTCCTCCTCCTCTTCGGCTACTCCTCCCTCCTCCTCCTCCTCCTCCTTCTCAAATACCTCTTCCTTAAATATAAAACTCCTACCCTGTCGCACACCGGGGGGGGGGGGAGGCGTGTCGGAAAAGGGCGGGCCAGGCGTGGGGGGGGGCGGGGGGGGCCTCAGACTTCCTCACCATGTCTGATCCTGGAGCGAAATTGTACAACAGTTTCACAGATGGAGGGCAGATCGCTTTCAAGATGTGGCTCTCGCCATAGCGCCTCGCACATTCGTCTTGAAAGCTCGTAGGAGCTTCCCACATGGATGGCGAGTGGTTATCAACATGTGGCTCTCGCTTTAGCGCCGCTTCAGGCTCTTTAAAACTTGCTGACGTTTCACGCATGGAGGGATGATGGCTTTAAAAATGTGGCTCTCGCATTGGGCCGTGTACATTTATCTTAGAAGTTTGTTGTAAGGGCTTCACGGATGGAGGGCGGTTCGTGTCCAAAATATGGCTCTCGCCGTAGCGCCGCACACATTCGTCTTAACAACTTGCAACAGTTTCGAAGATTGTCGTGGCGAACTTCCCAGAAGTGGTGTGTTGGTACGATGCCAGAATGTCAGGGCACGACAGTCACGTCGATTCGCGGTGTTGAAGTCCCAGGAAGCGTGTCCTGGCACGATTCAGGATCTTCACGACGAGACAGGAACGTTGATTCGCTGAGATGACATTCCAGGAATGATTCTCTGGCACAGTTCTGGATCTTCAAACGGTTGACTTCCAACGGGGCACTTCTCTCGGTGAAAACGATCGCCTGTATGGGGCCAGAAGGGGCAACGGCAACTTGGAAGGAACGATTGTTGTTATCGCTGATGAGTCTCAGGTTACACTGGTCCTCCTCCTCCTCCTCCTCCTCCTCCTGAGGAACGCAGACCACCCCTGATTCTGCACTTCCCCAGCCACGGCTCATTGATCTAACCCTCTCGCGGAGCCCCGACCCGACCCAACCTTCCTCCTCATCACGTCCACATCCTCCCCCCTCGTCAACCTTTCGTGTCTGCCTTGGACGCCCGAAATGGGTACGGAAAAAATGGGCACAACGCCCAACACCAAATGCTGTCCCAAACCAACAGCGGCCGCTGTTGGGCAGGCGGCCTTCTGTCTCGAATGGACACAGGCCGCGGCGGCGCGGACAGCGAGCCCCGTTCAAAGTGAACAAGAACTGCTCTTGGGCATTGTACCCATTCCTTCCGCACCCATCTCGCTCGTGCATATCATCACGCCCACATCCTCCCCCCCCCTTCCAGCCTCTTCGTGCCTGCTCCCCTGTCCCATCGCTCCGCCGCCTGCCGGCCCTGCCGGCCTCCCCACGTCACCGAGCGCTCGACCTGCGCTCGCCGTCGCTGCGAGGGCGCGGGCGCGCGCCGACCCTGGACAGCCATCGAGCACCGAGCAGGGGCGCAGAGGATCCTTGGAAGGGGCCCCAGGACACACAACTGAATGCACACAAAGGGAAGGATTCCCCATGCTTTCCCATACTATCTGGGTTTTCGTCTTCCCCCCCCACTTTCCACATTTTCCTGCATTTTCCTGGGGCTCGACGATTCATTGTGTCTGTGTGTTTTGTCTCCTCCTGAATCCTACAGATCCGAGCGCCGCAAACAGAACATCGTGACGGCCAGTGTCTCGACGTCGTCGGCCTCCAGAGGCAGCTTCCCGGCCCCAGGAGTCCAAAAATGATCAGCGTGAGAGACAGGAAAAAAAACAAGCAAAACGACGTCCACACGTATTGAATCCACAACCCTCGACCCTCGACCCTGCTCCACGACGACGCCGACGCCGACGCCTTCGCCGACGACAACACGACGACGATGCCGACGACGACGACGACGACGACGACGACGACGACGACGACGACGCCGACGCCGACGACGACGACGGCGGCGGCGGCGGCGGCGGCGGCGGCGGCGCGCCGCGGCAGGGAGCGGGTGACCGACGCAACCCGGGTGCCCTCGGGCAGCGCGTCGCGGTTCAGGATGGCGTGGTCCTGCAGGGGCCCTCGTCCTCCTCCTCCTCCTCCTCCCTCTCCTCCTCGTCCTCCTCCTCCTCCTCCTCCTCCTCCTCCTCCTCCTCCCGATCCTCCTCCTCCTCCTCCTCCTCCTCCTCCTCCTCCTCCTCCTCCTCCTCCCCTCCCCCTCCTCCTCCGCCTCCTTCTCCTCCTCCTCCTCATCCTCCTCCTCCCCTCCTCCTCCTCCCCTTCCTTCTTCTCCTCCTCCTCCTCCTCCTCTTCCTCCCTCCCTCCTCCCTCCTCCCTCCACATCCTCGAGGTTCGAGGACCACAGTTCGAGGATCGAGGGTCCACGCGTCAGGGCCTCTCGGACCCTCTGTGGGCCCCTGGGCGCCTCGGGAGGCCCCCTTCTGACCTCCCGAAGGCCTCCAGTGGACGTGCGGGAGCCTCCACGGGACCAGACCTCCCGCGGATGGATTGTTTCAAACGGGGCGTTTTTCCTCGACTTGGGCCTCCGCGGAGCCCCAGGGATCGTCGAAACACGATCTGGAGATCGAGAGCTCTAGGGACCAGGGATTGGAAGAAACAAAAAACGCGCCACAGGTCTTGGTCCTCCTCAGCCTCCTCCTCTTTCTCCTCCTCCTTTCCTTCCTCCTCCTCCTCCTCCTCCTCCTCATATACGGCGTCACCTTACCTTACCGTACCTCCCTCCACCTCCTCCTCCTCCTCCTCCTCCTCCTCCTCCTCCTCCTCCTCCTCCTCCTCCGCCCCCGCGAGGTTTGAAGTTATTGTTCGGTTTAGGCCAGTTCTTGACCTCCAGAAACCTGTTGTGACCTCAGGGGCCCCGACGGGCTGTTGAAGACTTCCGATGACTTCCCGGGAACTCTCAAGAAGGGGCTTGAGACGGGGAGGGGGGGAGGAAAGGAGGAAGGCAGTGAGGGAGGGAAAGAGAGAGAGAGAGAGCTTCCCTCCTGCCTTTTGGACCGAACATTGCCTGCACTGATGGTTTTTGATTGTGCTCTACGAGATTGGCTGGCCGCGGCGCACTTCCCGGGGACCATCGAAAACGACTCGGGGTGGAAAGGCGGTCCCCGTGAAATGATCCAGATCCCTGGGGGCCCGCGTCGTGAAAAAAAACATCGCGCGGGAGGCGACTGGGTCCGCATCGAGGGCAGACCCCCCGGCGCTGGCACCCGACACGGGGCAGATGCCCTCCATGAGGTTCAACGGCATGGGTCAGTGCCTCCCCCTCCCCCCCCATCGCCCCCCCTCCTCCCCAGTAGGGAGGGCGGGGGGCAGGGAGGCAGGGGAGGGCACGCGAGGGGGAGGCAGAGAAGGAAAGAGAGGAGGGGCTCGCGGTTCTGCAACAAGTGAATGCCTCAGTCTGCACATTTCTCGGGCCGCGTTGCCACCAGAGTGCTGGACACTTCTTTCGTCCTCCCTGCGGCCAGGGGAAGGAGGAGAAGGACAAGGAGGAGGAGGAGGAGGAGGAGGAGGGGGAGGAGGAAGAGGAGCCTTCCCCCTCCCTCCCAATCCCTATTCCTCCCTCATTTCTTCCTGCTGCTTCTCCCTCCTCACCCCTCCGCGTCCTTCTATTCCTCCTCCTCGTCTATCCATGCTCCTTTCACCCTGTTTCTCCGAGGGGGTGATTCAGACCGAGCGGTTGGTTGAGACCAAGGAGCTACTTTCGTTCCCAGAGGAGGAGGGGGTGGTTGAGACTTGAAGGAGTAGCAAAAGAAGAGAGAAGCTGGAGAAAGGACGGAACGTCTCACGCGTCCAACTCAAAATCTGATTCGCTTGCAGAAGGAACGCTTACTGTAGAAGAGACTTACGGTAGCAGGAGATGATGAAGCTGGCGAGCAGGTGGTACATCTGGGCATTGATAATGAAGGGTGATCGGGAGCACACAGGGAAGGGGACGGAAGCGATGGAGGTGGAGGAAGGAGGAAAGGTCAGATCTGGTGGGCCCCATGCTCATGTGTCCATCCGCACCGTCGTCATCCCCTGCAGCCTGCCGAAATGTCTACGACCATCAAACAACGGCCGTAGTTCTGTCCCGGAACCAAAAAAAAACTAGCGTTTTAAGTTCTGCTGCTCCCTCAAAGCCGACCCCTGGACCTGTCGTGGAGCCCGTTCTGGTCGGGGCTGCGAGGCGACACGAGCAAGTACGACGAGACACCTGGCAGGGTGCCCAAACCTGGACAAAACAGGTATCGTGCATCCTCGATGATACTCCTTCTCCTTCTCTTCCTTCTCCTCCTCCTCCAACTCCTCCTCCTCCTCCTCCTCCTCCTCCTCCTCCTCCTCCTCCTCCTCCTCTTCATCACCATCACCATCACCATCATTAGTATCCCCATCGCCATTATAAACATAATCATCGTCGTCATTAGCAACCTCATCATAATCATCAAATTCACCACCATCATCATAATCATCATCATCATCATCATCGTCATCATCTTCATCATCATCATCAGCATAATCATCATACTCATCATCGTCGTCGTCATTGACATTGGCAGAGTCATGACCATCATGA